CATGGATGTTAGCTAACAGCAGGCGAACATTGGGGTTTTCACCAGCGAGAATGATTGGATATCTAGCTGATAGCATGATAGGGGCACGCGTGAGACGTCCACGAGAACGCAGGATACCGAAGTTGTCCACAAACGGTGCTAATGTTCGAAGTCTACTTTTGCCTTCAATTGGTTTTTCTTTTTTGATGTCTGAAATTTCAGAGACAAAATCTGTCCTTTGGGCAGTTTTAATTATGAGAAAGTGCGATTTCGTTAGATGCAAGAGTTGAAGATCGACCTTCGACTGTTTGTTGATCTTCCGTTTGAGATTTTCTGCGAATAAGAAGCAGTATGCAACTGTCCGTATTAGTCTTTTCCAGTTGCTGAAGCGTTTGATGTCAAATATAGGCTCAAATTTAGACTCTAATGAAGTAACGAATACAGGAATGTTCTCAAGCCGAATGTTTTCCTGTGAAGGCCATTGAGAAGAATCGTTCAACAGAAATTCCGGTCCTAGTAGCCACCGACAGCTTGAGGTCATTTCTAAAGCAATGTATCCTCTGGTACCGTCGTCAGCAGGATTTAGCAGAGTTGGAACGTGAAACCACTGTTCAGGTTTAGAAACGTCTAAAATTTTCTGAAGCCGATTAGCGACGAAAATTTTGTGTCGTATTTCAGGTGTTCGCAGCCAATACAAAACAGTAGTACTGTCAGACCAGAAATAAGTTTTTTCAACTTTGAGGTCAATTTCCTCTGAAACAAAGAGCGATAGTTGGGCAGCATATACTGCAGCTTGCAACTCGAGATTGGGAATTGTAACACGTTTCATAGGAGCGACTCTTGTCTTTCCTATTATAAACTTCAAAGATGTGGAGCCGTCGCTGTAGACTATTCTTAGGTAGCAAACAGCAGCGAGAGCGAATTCTGATGCATCACAAAACGTGTGAAGCTGGATTGAAGCAGGGTTTTCTTTATCAAAGAAGTTCCTTTGGAATGAAACAGTTTCGAAATTTTCCATTTCGTCTACCCAAAGTTTGAAATCGGGAAGTTTATCCGTGTCTAATGGAGTATCCCACTTAACACCTTGTGACCAAACAGATTGGAGAACTTTTCGAATCCGAATTGTCAATGGAGCCACTATTCCGAGTGGGTCAAATAAAGAAGCGGTATACTTCAGGAGTTTCCGTTGCGTAGCAATGCCAATACGTAGAATTTTTACAAACTTTTTGTTATCGATGAAGTAGCAGTCAGTGTTGGTATTCCAGTGAACACCGAGAACTCGTTGATGTTTAGGCGTTGGATCATTAGGGCTGACTAAAATATTTGGATCAATTGAATCCAGGAATGGTTTACTGTTTGAGTTCCACTTATTCAAGTTGAACCCACCTCGAGATAAAGATCCTCGTAGTTGTGTCATTTGTTGGAGGGCTTCTTCTACCGTTGACGAAGTGACATACAAATCATCCATGTAGATATTCCGTTGAATGATTTCAGAAGCCAGAGGAAAGTCGTTTTTACTGTCTGATGCACATCGTCGTACTGCGTAGCAAGCCACGCATGGTGAGTCTGTGGCACCGAAAATGTGTCGTGTATATTCGTGAGTTTCTAATTTACCATTTTCTTTCCAAAGGTATCTTAGAAAAGGTCTATCCTTTGGGCTGACTAGCACTTGCATAAACATAGCATCTATGTCAGCAGATATTGCTATTTTATTTTGTCGAAAGCGAATTATGAGACCTGTTAAGTTGCACAAAAGATCGGGCCCTTTGAGCAAACTCGAGTTGAGGGATTTACCCTGAAAAATGCTGGAAGCATTTGAGACTCGTCTAACTTTGTCTGGTTTGTTGACATTTGTCACTGGATGATGCGGCAAATACCAAGATTTGATTGCAGTGTCATGTTTTGCATCTATTTTGGTGACAAAGCCTTTTTCTAAGTCAGTGATGACTGTTGCGCGGTATTTCTCCCTTAAATCAGGTTTACTTTTAAGGCGAAATTCGAGGCTGTTGAGTTGCTTTTCAGCTAGCCAACGGTTATTTGGAAGATCAGTATCCTCTTTCCAAAGAAGGTCAATTTGATAGTGACCATCTACTAAAGTACAAGAGTTTTCGAGAATATCGATTGCTCTTTTATCCGATTTGGAGTGCGAGCGTTTTGAAGAAGCGATGCCTGTGTTTTCTATTTTCATCCAGTTGAGAGCTTTCTGGTATAATTTTTCATCTAAGTTATTGTGTGAATGAACTTGTGTGAAGTTCACCGGAACAGATGGAACGGAATTATATTGCGTTTTGTTCCGACCTGTGCATGTCCATCCCAAAAGGGTTTCGATAGCCCAGGGAACACTCTTGGGGCCATAAACGGTATTTTTGATCTCATGATATTCTGGATTGTTGTTTCCGATGACTAGCGATATGCTATTGTCGTTTAAGTCCGGGTATTTAACATGCTTTAAATGTGGAAAATTGTTGCACATTGCGTTTAGTTGAAAAATATCAACTGGGGCCAAATTATTTTCATCTACCGTGAGTACGTCATCGAGCGTCATTGGAGTCGATGTGCTTTTGTATGGTCTAATTTGTACATCCACAGATGTAACTTGAACTGACTTGGTCTCATGATATCCAGATATGGGAAGTGAGTGCTTCTTGTTGACGTCCAAGCCTAGTTGAGTTGCCACTGAGTCCAGTAGTAGAGTTACGCAGCTACCACTATCTAAGAAAGCGTAGGTACAAAGTGTTTTATCACCATTTGATAATTCGATTGGTACAAAAGCTGATTGACCTGATCTCTGACAAGCTATTGCGCGATTCACTGCAGCTTTACTAGGGTTTTTTCCATAAGTATCAGAAGGATCGTGGAGTAGAGTGTGGTGTTTTTTACCACAATTATCGGTTCGACAGAGCGATTTCGAATTGCAGTCAGTAAACCTATGATTCCCTAGACAGTTAAAGCATAAGTGCATTTTTCGGGCATGCTCTTTTCGTTGCTTAGGGTCTAAAGCTTTGAAGTGCTCGCATTTGTAGAGAGGTCCACAGGTGTCTCCACTAGGACAAGCATTCGAGTTTACATTATTCTGAGCACTAGAGTTTTGTTGATCTCCCTGATGGTTAAAGCGCTGATTTTGATTTCCTACACCATTTGTAGTAAAACCATTGAAACGGGAACCACTAGGGTGTTTAGCGTTTCCAGAAGAATTGTTAAAATTGTTATTGTTTTGGTTTCGGAAACCTGTCGGAGGCATGTCGCGACACGCCTGTGCGTACCGTTGAAACCATTGTGCTAGATGTCTCAAGGAGGGTTGATCGTAGTCTTTGTCGATGACGAAGCGATTCCATTCTAATCTCACAGGGTCGGGAAGCTTTGCCAGAGCAGTGTTCAAGTTTGTTGTAGAACAAATATCGTGAACAAAACCAAGTTGCTCAAAAGTGTCCACTAAAGTTAGGAGAAAAGCAGAAAACTGCATGTATGATTCTGGTTGAGCCAGATTTGGAGGTTTGAAATTTGCAAGACGTTGCAAAAAAGAGTTGACAATTCTATTGGTATTGCCAAAGTTTTCACGAAGACGTTGTAGTGCTAGTTCGTATGTGTCGCCGTTTGCACCATAACCAGCTATCATTAATTTAGCTGGGCCAGTTACCAATGATTGAAGATGGATCATCTTTTCAGTTGGAGACATATTAGAATTATGAATCGATGATACGAATACACCATACCAGTGCAACCAATAGTTGGGATTGCAATTGAAAATTGTAGGCTTCAGTTTTGGCACTGGTCGACTGAATGTAGTAGAAGTGTCGCTTGAATTAGTTGTCAAAGCTCGATTGTTGTTGTTAGGAGGGTTTGCAGCACTAGCTTGTTGTGAGCTGTGGTTAGGAACATCACTAGCAAATGGATTTGAAAATGATTGGTCGCCTTGAAATGGCGCCGAAAGGTTGTCGTCAGAGGCAGCTGTTCTTGCATTGCCATCTGGTTCTCACACATCCACCTTCTTTGTTTCTAGGGTGCTGTGTCAAGGGACTTTGATAACGTTTCTTTTTGTCTAGGGTGCTTTGCGTCGGCATCCGCATCCCAGAACTGAGCGCAGTTTGACTTAAAAGTCACCTCAGGTAGCAGAAAAATCTCAATGGGCCAAACTTCAAAATCAATCCTATATAATCCTATATAATCGATTGTAATCGATATATAATCCTATATATATGATCCTACATAATCATTGTGATCTTCGTTTTTCCGTCTGTACAATCAATAATTTTCATGCGTTGTTCAATCATGGGACAAACTGAACCGTGGTTGTCTAACAATCCACAAAATTATTCCTCGTCATTGTCGGCTCGTGGCTTATACTAACCGGAAGCCATGCGACGTTTTTACTAATTTCAATGCCATAATTATTGAAACAAAGTTGTAACCTAGTTGCTCTCGGCTTATCTAAAAATTATTCTTGCTATTTTATACGGTAACAGATTATGGCATATGGTGGTGGAAGTCGATGACCCGATTGGCGCCGACTTCCAATTGTTAGTAAGGGTAGTTTTAAGGGTTGAGTCAAAGGAGTTCCATGCAGTTGGGCATCAGTTGAGTAAGTACATGAAAGATAATACAATAGTAAATCAGGGATAAAACTAAGGTAAATATAATATCATAAATAGGGATATTATATTACATGGTACGGGGAATACTAAAAGGCGAACGTTAGAAAAAGGGGAACTGTTAATAAGGGGGTTATTCAGAAAAGTTGATATTAATCCCGAGTTTTCGTATAAATTGAAACATTATTTTACCTGAAAGTTTGTCATTTCCTTGTAAGTCATGCTGTTTTTGAAAAGTTAAGAGAAACGAGTGAGTCAGCTTGGCTGTAATGTCAAAAGTCAAGTTGAGAGAAAGGTGACCTTAATTGTTTACAATTAACACCCGCCCACATTTGCAGAGCTTGCAAATAAAGTATTGAATAAAATAGTAAGGATACGGTAAAAATACAAAGATAAGGGAACCAGTAGATAAGGGAACCAGAAATTGTTCTTTTTCATCTTCATCTTGGTTTGTCTATCGTTGAGCTGATTGTCTTAGTTGAATTGACGAGTCGTAGATTTGTTCATCTTTGTCGAGTTGATATGTTGAAGGCTGAGTTGCGTGATTATTTGGTTGGTTAGCTATTTGGAGCTTGGTTACTGCGAAACTGGGAAAACGCGGCTCAATTTGACCACAGGTCGAACTTTGAATCCAGTTGGCGTTTTCAGCTTCACTGAGCGGACTATTCCATCTTGTCCAGGAAAGGTTTCCACCACTTTAGCAAGAGGCCACAGTCCACGAGGTGTAAAATCCTCCAACATCCAGACCATGTCGTCGGGTTGCAAATTGGAAGTCGCAGAAGTCCACTTTGATCGTTTCTGCTGACCTGGTAAGTACTCTCGAAGAAAGCGATTCCAGAAGTGATCTGCGAGTAGTTGGGATGCTTTCCATGATTTTGACAGAGATAAATCCTTGTCCTTGAAGATACCAGGCGGTAAATTTGGAGTTCCACGACCAAGAAGGAAATGGTTGGGAGTGAGAGGCAGATCATCTTTGATGTCGTCAGACACATTGGTTAAAGGTCGTGAATTCATGGTTGATTCAATTTCGGTCGTGAAAGTAGCCAGTGTTTCATAGGAGAGTGTTCTTGATCCGATGACTTTGTACAGGGAAAGTTTAAATATCTGAACTAGTCGTTCCCAAGAACCACCAAAATGAGGGGCCGCAGGAGGGTTGAATTTCCATTCGAGTGATACGTCCAGCTGATTGATGCTTTCCACAAATTCTTTGTTCTTTTCCAAGTTGTCTAGACATTTCTTCAGCTCAGAATTGGAGCCCACAAAACTTGTCCCACAATCAGAAACCATTTTCGATGGTTTTCCTCGCCGGGCAAAAAAGCGTCTGATACAAAGAAGAGTGCTGTCTGTCGATAGTCCTAATGAGATTTCAAGATGCACAGCTCTGATCACTAAGCATGTGAACAGTAAAATATACGCTTGGTATTGTTTTCCTTGAAGGATGATGGGAAAAGGTCCAACGTAGTCCAATCCAGTCGTTGCAAAAGGAAAATGATTTTTTGATGGCAGTCGATCAATTGGAAGATCTGACATCTGAGGGTAGTCGACTTGTTGTTGCATTCTTCTGCAGGGTATACAACTGTGTATGATACTTTTCAGCATGACGCGGCAGCGAAGAATCCAGTAGTTTTCCTGTGCTATGGCAATTGCTTGTTCCTTTCCGCAGTGGGAATGTAGAACATGGATGTTAGCTAACAGCAGGCGAACATTGGGGTTTTCACCAGCGAGAATGATTGGATATCTAGCTGATAGCATGATAGGGGCACGCGTGAGACGTCCACGAGAACGCAGGATACCGAAGTTGTCCACAAACGGTGCTAATGTTCGAAGTCTACTTTTGCCTTCAATTGGTTTTTCTTTTTTGATGTCTGAAATTTCAGAGACAAAATCTGTCCTTTGGGCAGTTTTAATTATGAGAAAGTGCGATTTCGTTAGATGCAAGAGTTGAAGATCGACCTTCGACTGTTTGTTGATCTTCCGTTTGAGATTTTCTGCGAATAAGAAGCAGTATGCAACTGTCCGTATTAGTCTTTTCCAGTTGCTGAAGCGTTTGATGTCAAATATAGGCTCAAATTTAGACTCTAATGAAGTAACGAATACAGGAATGTTCTCAAGCCGAATGTTTTCCTGTGAAGGCCATTGAGAAGAATCGTTCAACAGAAATTCCGGTCCTAGTAGCCACCGACAGCTTGAGGTCATTTCTAAAGCAATGTATCCTCTGGTACCGTCGTCAGCAGGATTTAGCAGAGTTGGAACGTGAAACCACTGTTCAGGTTTAGAAACGTCTAAAATTTTCTGAAGCCGATTAGCGACGAAAATTTTGTGTCGTATTTCAGGTGTTCGCAGCCAATACAAAACAGTAGTACTGTCAGACCAGAAATAAGTTTTTTCAACTTTGAGGTCAATTTCCTCTGAAACAAAGAGCGATAGTTGGGCAGCATATACTGCAGCTTGCAACTCGAGATTGGGAATTGTAACACGTTTCATAGGAGCGACTCTTGTCTTTCCTATTATAAACTTCAAAGATGTGGAGCCGTCGCTGTAGACTATTCTTAGGTAGCAAACAGCAGCGAGAGCGAATTCTGATGCATCACAAAACGTGTGAAGCTGGATTGAAGCAGGGTTTTCTTTATCAAAGAAGTTCCTTTGGAATGAAACAGTTTCGAAATTTTCCATTTCGTCTACCCAAAGTTTGAAATCGGGAAGTTTATCCGTGTCTAATGGAGTATCCCACTTAACACCTTGTGACCAAACAGATTGGAGAACTTTTCGAATCCGAATTGTCAATGGAGCCACTATTCCGAGTGGGTCAAATAAAGAAGCGGTATACTTCAGGAGTTTCCGTTGCGTAGCAATGCCAATACGTAGAATTTTTACAAACTTTTTGTTATCGATGAAGTAGCAGTCAGTGTTGGTATTCCAGTGAACACCGAGAACTCGTTGATGTTTAGGCGTTGGATCATTAGGGCTGACTAAAATATTTGGATCAATTGAATCCAGGAATGGTTTACTGTTTGAGTTCCACTTATTCAAGTTGAACCCACCTCGAGATAAAGATCCTCGTAGTTGTGTCATTTGTTGGAGGGCTTCTTCTACCGTTGACGAAGTGACATACAAATCATCCATGTAGATATTCCGTTGAATGATTTCAGAAGCCAGAGGAAAGTCGTTTTTACTGTCTGATGCACATCGTCGTACTGCGTAGCAAGCCACGCATGGTGAGTCTGTGGCACCGAAAATGTGTCGTGTATATTCGTGAGTTTCTAATTTACCATTTTCTTTCCAAAGGTATCTTAGAAAAGGTCTATCCTTTGGGCTGACTAGCACTTGCATAAACATAGCATCTATGTCAGCAGATATTGCTATTTTATTTTGTCGAAAGCGAATTATGAGACCTGTTAAGTTGCACAAAAGATCGGGCCCTTTGAGCAAACTCGAGTTGAGGGATTTACCCTGAAAAATGCTGGAAGCATTTGAGACTCGTCTAACTTTGTCTGGTTTGTTGACATTTGTCACTGGATGATGCGGCAAATACCAAGATTTGATTGCAGTGTCATGTTTTGCATCTATTTTGGTGACAAAGCCTTTTTCTAAGTCAGTGATGACTGTTGCGCGGTATTTCTCCCTTAAATCAGGTTTACTTTTAAGGCGAAATTCGAGGCTGTTGAGTTGCTTTTCAGCTAGCCAACGGTTATTTGGAAGATCAGTATCCTCTTTCCAAAGAAGGTCAATTTGATAGTGACCATCTACTAAAGTACAAGAGTTTTCGAGAATATCGATTGCTCTTTTATCCGATTTGGAGTGCGAGCGTTTTGAAGAAGCGATGCCTGTGTTTTCTATTTTCATCCAGTTGAGAACTTTCTGGTATAATTTTTCATCTAAGTTATTGTGTGAATGAACTTGTGTGAAGTTCACCGGAACAGATGGAACGGAATTATATTGCGTTTTGTTCCGACCTGTGCATGTCCATCCCAAAAGGGTTTCGATAGCCCAGGGAACATTCTTGGGGCCATAAACGGTATTTTTGATCTCATGATATTCTGGATTGTTGTTTCCGATGACTAGCGATATGCTATTGTCGTTTAAGTCCGGGTATTTAACATGCTTTAAATGTGGAAAATTGTTGCACATTGCGTTTAGTTGAAAAATATCAACTGGGGCCAAATTATTTTCATCTACCGTGAGTACGTCATCGAGCGTCATTGGAGTCGATGTGCTTTTGTATGGTCTAATTTGTACATCCACAGATGTAACTTGAACTGACTTGGTCTCATGATATCCAGATATGGGAAGTGAGTGCTTCTTGTTGACGTCCAAGCCTAGTTGAGTTGCCACTGAGTCCAGTAGTAGAGTTACGCAGCTACCACTATCTAAGAAAGCGTAGGTACAAAGTGTTTTATCACCATTTGATAATTCGATTGGTACAAAAGCTGATTGACCTGATCTCTGACAAGCTATTGCGCGATTCACTGCAGCTTTACTAGGGTTTTTTCCATAAGTATCAGAAGGATCGTGGAGTAGAGTGTGGTGTTTTTTACCACAATTATCGGTTCGACAGAGCGATTTCGAATTTCAGTCAGTAAACCTATGATTCCCTAGACAGTTAAAGCATAAGTGCATTTTTCGGGCATGCTCTTTTCGTTGCTTAGGGTCTAAAGCTTTGAAGTGCTCGCATTTGTAGAGAGGTCCACAGGTGTCTCCACTAGGACAAGCATTCGAGTTTACATTATTCTGAGCACTAGAGTTTTGTTGATCTCCCTGATGGTTAAAGCGCTGATTTTGATTTCCTACACCATTTGTAGTAAAACCATTGAAACGGGAACCACTAGGGTGTTTAGCGTTTCCAGAAGAATTGTTAAAATTGTTATTGTTTTGGTTTCGGAAACCTGTCGGAGGCATGTCGCGACACGCCTGTGCGTACCGTTGAAACCATTGTGCTAGATGTCTCAAGGAGGGTTGATCGTAGTCTTTGTCGATGACGAAGCGATTCCATTCTAATCTCACAGGGTCGGGAAGCTTTGCCAGAGCAGTGTTCAAGTTTGTTGTAGAACAAATATCGTGAACAAAACCAAGTTGCTCAAAAGTGTCCACTAAAGTTAGGAGAAAAGCAGAAAACTGCATGTATGATTCTGGTTGAGCCAGATTTGGAGGTTTGAAATTTGCAAGACGTTGCAAAAAAGAGTTGACAATTCTATTGGTATTGCCAAAGTTTTCACGAAGACGTTGTAGTGCTAGTTCGTATGTGTCGCCGTTTGCACCATAACCAGCTATCATTAATTTAGCTGGGCCAGTTACCAATGATTGAAGATGGATCATCTTTTCAGTTGGAGACATATTAGAATTATGAATCGATGATACGAATACACCATACCAGTGCAACCAATAGTTGGGATTGCCATTGAAAATTGTAGGCTTCAGTTTTGGCACTGGTCGACTGAATGTAGTAGAAGTGTCGCTTGAATTAGTTGTCAAAGCTCGATTGTTGTTGTTAGGAGGGTTTGCAGCACTAGCTTGTTGTGAGCTGTGGTTAGGAACATCACTAGCAAATGGATTTGAAAATGATTGGTCGCCTTGAAATGGCGCCGAAAGGTTGTCGTCAGAGGCAGCTGTTCTTGCATTGCCTTGAGTATTGTTGCTCATGGTTATAAGGTTGTTGTTTGGTATATCCATTATGTTTGCAGTCGGCATGGAGGTTGCGGTTTCCTGTGGGAAAATTGAAGTAGCATTTTCTTGAGCGCTGTTATTTGGAATTGTAGAAGTAGCAGGATTTGATACTTGTTTTTTCAAATATTTTTTCACTTTCATTGAAAATACTCGGATTTTCTGTTTCAACTGTACTGTCCAGTGAGAATGTTCTTCAAAATCGTGTTCAGAACCAGCCTGTAACATTTGATCGTTCAGGGTATCAAGTTTTTGTTGGAATTGAGACAATTCAGTGAACGTTTCATTGATGAGTTCAAGATCATATTCTTCCTCGTAGATGTTGTTTTCGAGCATGTCGATCAAAGTATTGATCTCCATTTCGTGATGACGTCGAAGCGAAACCAGTTTTCGAACGCCAGTCTCTTGAACGTTTTGATTGGTATCTTGCGTTTGGGTACCATTTTGTTCCGAAGGATCGCTGTCATTGTTTTGCGTCGTTTTATTTCTACCGGATGGGGCCATACCTTGAACCAGGAGACGTAAACCAATACCTACCAACTTATACCAGTATATGAATTTACCTTTACCAACCTACCAACTTATACCGAATACCACCGATGCTCGTAAGAAAGGAGCGAAATAATGGATAAAGTTTAACCAATTACCACTGTACCTTACCACTTGTACCTACCTCCGAGGGAAAATTGAGCGGTCGTTCAAAGTGTCCTCGGTATTAACAATTAACTGCGATTTTAAAGCTAGTCCAAGAACCTACCTGGTCCTACCAGCCTACCGACCCTACCTACCTACCAATTACCAGTATAAACGGCAAAAAAAAACCGGGTGCAAAGATTAGCACCAATGAGTGTTGACCTCCCAGAGGACAACTGAGGATGACGTATTTACCTACCTACCTGTCGCTATTTAGCAGACGACCGAATTGTGATTGCTGACCTCCCAGAGGACAACTAAAGTTGATGTACCTGTTTACCTACCTGTCCTAATACCGTAGATTTATCCCTGTGCAATAAAATTTGCATATACCAGTTGACCTCCCAGAGGACAACTTGCCTTTATCGCTGTAGCGTAGCGAATGAGACGAACTAGAGTTGTTCGAAGCAGTTGATGAGCTAAACGAAGCTCGAATGTAGCCACGAACCCAGTGAGGCTCGAAGCAGCAGAGGAAATGAGCTCAGGTAAAGCTCGACAGGAAGCAGCCAAGAACCGAGAAGCTCAAAGCAGAAAATAAGGTGAGCTAAGACGAAGCTCGAATGTAGCCACGAACCCAGTGAGGCTCGAAGCAGCAGAGGAATGAGCTCAGGTAAAGCTCGACAGGAAGCAGCCAAGAACCGAGAGGCTCAAAGCAGAAAATAAGGTGAGCTAAGACGAAGCTCGAATGTAGCCACGAACCCAGTGAGGCTCGAAGCAGCAGAGGAAATGAGCTCAGGTAAAGCTCGACAGGAAGCAGCCAAGAACCGAGAGGCTCAAAGCAGAAAATAAGGTGAGCTAAGACGAAGCTGGAATGTAGCCACGAACCCAGTGAGGCTCGAAGCAGCAGAGGAAATGAGCTCAGGTAAAGCTCGACAGGAAGCAGCCAAGAACCGAGAGGCTCAAAGCAGAAAATAAGGTGAGCTAAGACGAAGCTGGAATGTAGCCACGAACCCAGTGAGGCTCGAAGCAGCAGAGGAAATGAGCTCAGGTAAAGCTCGACAGGAAGTAGCCAAGAACCGAGAGGCTCAAAGCAGAAAATAAGGTGAGCTAAGACGAAGCTCGAATGTAGCCACGAACCCAGTGAGGCTCGAAGCAAGCGGAATAAGTGAGCTCAGATAAAGCTCAAACAAATGTCATGTCGAAGAACAATGACGAAAATTGAGAGTCCAAAAAGAACTCGAATCAGGTAACCAAGGAGTCGGGCAATAAGAAAGCAAAAGTGTCAGAAAACACTTGAAGGAAGGAAGCAATGAAGGAAGCAAAGGGCCAAGAAAGGCTCGGAAGGAATATACAAGACGTCAGATAAGACTCGGAAGGAATGAATGAATGAGTAGGGAAAAACTCGGAAACGAACAACAAATGGGTCGAGAAAGACTCGGAAAGGAATGAAACATTGAGTCAGAAAAGACTCGGAAAGGGACGCAAAAGGCAATAAAGACTCTGAACGGAATGAAAAATGAGTCGGGAAAACTGAAGTTTTTTCATAAATGAGTCACAAAAGACTCGGAATAGCAAAGCAACAAAAAACGAATTGAAAGGGGAAAATTGATTAAAATAACTTAATACATTATTCAAAGTAAATGAAGCTATGAACAATTGAAACGTTTAAAGTTTACATGGGTTAGAAATCAAGAGCAATAATTGATTTTTTTTTTTTTAAATGTAAATCAAATAAACTACGATTAACTGTAAATAAATGAAATAATATTGTAATGGGGAAGTATTATAACAAGATATAATAAACCGCAGACGTAAAAACTGGGGAGGAAAAACAGTAACTAACCATAAATTTTTGGTTGTGGGGGAATAAAAAACACAGTGTAACGAGCTAATCAAAACTTTTTCGGGGCGCCAATATAAAAATTGGGTAATTTACCTTAGGAGAGTAGTACACCAATTGTTAGTAAGGGTAGTTTTAAGGGTTGAGTCAAAGGAGTTCCATGCAGTTGGGCATCAGTTGAGTAAGTACATGAAAGATAATACAATAGTAAATCAGGGATAAAACTAAGGTAAATATAATATCATAAATAGGGATATTATATTACATGGTACGGGGAATACTAAAAGGCGAACGTTAGAAAAAGGGGAACTGTTAATAAGGGGGTTATTCAGAAAAGTTGATATTAATCCCGAGTTTTCGTATAAATTGAAACATTATTTTACCTGAAAGTTTGTCATTTCCTTGTAAGTCATGCTGTTTTTGAAAAGTTAAGAGAAACGAGTGAGTCAGCTTGGCTGTAATGTCAAAAGTCAAGTTGAGAGAAAGGTGACCTTAAATGTTTACAATTAACAGAAGTCGATGACCCGATTGGCGCCGACTTCCGGCGATAAACAAGTTCAAACTGTTTTAATCTCCATTTAAAATGGTGCTTTTCATATGACTCTGGTGCTTATTTTTACCATTTCAAACTTTTTTTATATATGTCTGAATTCACATTCTTTTCCCCCTTTTATACGGAAGTCGTTTAGAATGAGAAGAAAAATCATCGACAATGTGAGGTCATTGGCGACCAAGGTTTCATTTTATCGCTCTTTAGACCGTCCATAAACTATTTTGATGCAATGGCTGCTAGGACGCAATTTCTCTCCGAATCAGGCTTGCTACTTTTTCTTCCGAGTTGAACATTGTCCAAAGACTTGTCAATCGACGCATCGTCACGCTGGCGCCTCCTCTAGAACCTCATCATCATTTGATGTCCCTTCACTCCGAAGACAAAACGATTCTTCAAAATCTCGAGTATCCTCTACACACTATCATGTACATTTGCCCTTATTGCCATGACATAGTCCAAGCCCGTACCCTCGAGGTTACTTGCGGATGCACTGATTTCTTGCTTCTTCGGTTAATTTTTTTCAAAATGGAGCTTCATCATCTCTATCTAGGTTTTTAAGATCTTTCACTTTTTTAGCGGATGTGGAACGTTTCGTGATGAACGGTTCGAGAACTTTTCGAGCGGTATTATTGTTGATTTGTATTTCTTCGGTTCTTGTGAAATTGAAATTGCCAACATATTTTGTGCAGATCTCGCTTGGGACATGGATAATGAAATTGTCTCTGAGGAGGCCTCACAATTTTTACTGCGCTGGAGTCGTCTAACTCGTCCTCGGATGAGCTG